CCAAGAATCATAGCGGGCCCGCCCCGGGCTTGCCGGCCCTGGCGAGAAAAGCTACTTTATGATCTGTAACTCTGTTCATAGACAAGATACAGTATTCCGAAATAATACCGTTTTGTAGTACTCGTGGAGCTCTATCATACCTGATTAAGTTGTTTCAAAAACATTGATTCTGAAAGAAGTTATGGCAGGGCCCGCAAAGGCCCGGATTACAAGTATGCTTATTGTTGTTTTTCGTTATATGTTAAACTAACAATCTTATACTAAGCGGATCAAGAGTTTTGAAATTTTTGTAAATCACCGTATTTTGAGTTTTCTGAAATATTCCAAAACAATTATCATTTCAATATTTTCGGGAATTCATTTTTCATTTTTTTTTGTGATAAAAGGAATAATAGTAACTCGGTTTCAGAACATTGATAAAAAGTTTGAAATTAATAATTTGTTTCAATTCTTCCAAGATTCTTCAACATTTTCTGTTTCGGATTATTGATATTTCAAAAAACCTACGATTCCCAATAATAGAAAAGCTTTTTCGCCCTTCTTCTTCGAAAAAACAAATAATAGTAACTCGGTTTCAAAACTTTGATGAGAAATTCAAAGTTAATTAAAACATCAGTCAAGTCTTACTAACCGATAATAATCCGACTTACCTTTTCAAAAAATCCTTGCTCATCTCGAAATCCAACCAAACAATCCGTCAATCCCTCATCAATAACTGTAACCAATCTATAGCCAACTGAATCATCTTCAATCCATATTTGATTGTTCAAATCCTCAATTCGTTCTTCCACTTTTTTCGTTTGGAGATGTCTGGAAAGTATGGAAGTTTAAGGGTATAGTTTAAGGTCCTCTTATTGAGAAGCGTGCAAGTTAAACATGATTTTGGAACAGTAAACTTTTTTGGTATTTTTTCAATCTGTTGATTAGTTAAAGGTGGTAGAACAACATATCAACTATGACATAACTTATCTCGGTTCGGAAAAAAACGTCAACTAAGAGATCTGAATGTCAAAATCATAATTCTGAAACTGTAAATTTTGAATGGTAACTTTCGAAAAAAAAAATTCCGAAAAAATACCTTAAAACTTGAAGATACTTTTCAAAAATGTTTCGATGTTTTGCTCGAATGAAATATTCTAGACCACTCTCTTCAAAAGATCCATACAATTCAAGTTTCGGCAAAAAACTCCCAAGATTAGACGTATTTCGCGTTCCAAGCAATCCTCAAACATTTTCAAGTTTTAGGTATACTTTCGAAACAGCGACTTTTCAAAAATTTCGAAAACTTTGATTTTGGAGTTACCGTAATCCTCACTAACCTGAGTACAACCGGATCCAAATCGATTCGGGAAGAATCCATTGTTCCAGACAGATTCTAGTTTTTTCGTTGTTTCGAATTTTGGAATAATGAGTGATTCACTAGAGAAAGAAAAAAGAGAAATACACGAGTGATGATCCTCTCTTCTCTCTATTACAAAAAGTGAAATTTGTGGGAGAAAAACGGGGGGAAATGAATTGAAAAACTCTTCTCCTCCCCAGGGGTCCCTCTCCCCACTTTTTTCTCTAATTCTCTTTTTCTGATTATTCTCGCCACTGATTTTTTTTCTTCCGTTGTTCCGGAGAGCAACAAGATGATCGGGGAGGGAGAAGCGGATGGGAGAGATCCGGAAAATGAGGAAGAATGTGATTCATCATTTTATGTACAAATTGCTCATGTCGATTATGATCATGTCATATTGACATGATTGCTGATAGAAAAATTAGTTGAAGCTTTTTTTTTTGAAAATTGCAATTCTGTTATTTGAAGTGGGTTCATAAATTAAATTAGATTTTTTAGATTTATTTATAAAAGTTTTCCGAAAAATAATCATGTTTGAAGGATTTGGGGTTGGAAAAGTATTGGAGGCTCTATGACAGCGTAGCTCAGCCAGTGCTACCAAACAACTTCCATGGAAAAATTGTCAATTTTGGTGTCCTGAAATTGTTGTCCAGTACTGTTCGAATGTTCTGAAAATTTCAGGATACACGAGAAAAATATTCTTTGAGAATACATTTTTGTGATTAACAACTTTTCGAATAATTTCCATGAGATTGAAACAAAAAAGTGCCAAAAATTCCAAAAACACTGAATCGGGAATTGTGCTTTCAAAACCGCTTATTTCGCTTTATTATTTCGCTTTACGTACAAAAAGTTGTCAATTGTAAAAGGAAGCTATAATTTTGTCAAGAATATTCTTGTCTTCAAAGTTAACTTTGAAAAAAAAAAATAAAAGTATTTTTACAGTGTATGATTCAAAATCGTCACATGAAAATCGGATCTCAATATTTGACAAGTTCGAAACCGTGATAAAAACATAGCATAATCAGACATTTGATAATGATGGCTAACAATAAGAGTATTTTTTCAAACAAATCTATGGAAAAATATGTCTAAAAGAGGCAAGACTTCTTTTAAAAATTATCTGTTTCCGCTTGTTTTCAAAAGAGACAGTTGATTCTCGACAAACATTAGATCAACTCATTTGATAAATTGCAGCGATAAGATCAAAACATTGGAATCATCGAAAATATTATTCAAAAAATGAAAAGCTAACTTCGAGTTTCGAAAAATGGACAAACTAAAAACATACTGAGAAAAGGGCCGAAAAAATCTGGTAAAGCCCGTTTTCAAGTATGATTCAAAATCTTTCAATTTGTTTCAGTTTCACACCTTCCATATTTTAACTTTAATAATAGCGATTGCTGATTTGATGTACATAAACTTTTGACTTCGCTTTGTAGTATTTTTAAGTAAACCTTGAGTAAACTGGATAAAAACTAAAAGTCATCTCAAAATAGTGGAAGGATCAAAGTCTTGAAGCAGATAATTCTTTGATATATTTGAAAAATTGCCGCTTAACTTACAAGGGAAGTACCCGAAGTGTCCTCTCGCTTTTTCTTAGATATTGGTGGAAAATAATGTCCCGTCGCTGGACTTGCACAAAACGGATAATATAAGGTGCCCATAGGCAGGTTGAGCAGAATGACAAAACTTTTTGTGATTTTTCAGAAAAAGTGGACCAAGTCCATTCAAAAAATCATAACTTTGTACAGAGCAAAGGTAAAATTACAGACTAACATGTATCTTGTAGAACGGATTACAGGCTACAAAAAACCTAATCACACCTTCATTCTATCTCTGCAAAGAATTTTACTATTATAGGAATTGTCCGAATGGTCCGATCGTATGAAATCAAAAAATGTCGATTTTCGAAAAAACACCTTTGGAAGACTATGTCTATCCGATTCCTTTCATGTCATAATTCATAACTATTATCTCAAATATATAGCTCACCGTTCATTTAAGAGAGATTTTTGAAAAAATAAACTTTCAAATGTCAATTCCATGTACCTGGTATTTTTCAAACTCATTTTTCCATATACACCATAAAAGCTCTGAGAACAAACGATTCAGTTGATCTAGTTGTTTTTTGACAGAAAATTATCAAATCGTGATCAAGGAGTCAAAACTTTCGAAAAAAAAATTCACATGTTGAAAGTGAGCCTTAAAAAATAAAAAATTAAATTAAATTAAAAAATTAAAAAATCTTAAAAAATTATTATGCCAAACATTTTATTAGTTGAAAAAATTTGATATGCAACATAGTAATCATGATAATTGAGGCCAAAGTGCAAGAGCGTTTTACTAGATTCAACCTCCACCATCTCCGATTCTCCGATTCCACCTCCACCATCTCCGATTCTCCGATTCCACCTCCACCAGCTCCGATTCTCCGATTCCACCTCCACCATCTCCGATCCGCCGATTCCACCTGCACCATCTCCGATTCTCCGATTCCACCTCCACCATCTCCGATTCTCCGATTCCACCTGCACCATCTCCGATTCTCCGATTCCACCTCCACCAGCTCCGATTCTCCGATTCCACCTTCACCAGCTCCGATTCTCCGATTCCACCTCCACCATCTCCGATCCGCCGATTCCACCTGCACCATCTCCGATTCTCCGATTCCACCTCCACCATCTCCGATTCTCCGATTCCACCTGCACCATCTCCGATTCTCCGATTCCACCTCCACCATCTCCGATTCTCCGATTCCACCTCCACCAGCTCCGATTCTCCGATTCCACCTCCACCATCTCCGATTCTCCGATTCCACCTTCACCAGCTCCGATTCTCCGATTCCACCTCCACCATCTCCGATTCTCCGATTCCACCTCCACCAGCTCCGATTCTCCGATTCCACCTCCACCATCTCCGATTCTCCGATTCCACCTTCACCAGCTCCGATTCTCCGATTCCACCTCCAACATCTCCGATCCGCCGATTCCACCTACACCATCTCCGATTCTCCGATTCCACCTACACCATCTCCGATTCTCCGATTCCACCTCCACCATCTCCGATTCTCCGATTCCACCTCCACCATCTCCGATTCTCCGATTCCACCTCCACCAGCTCCGATTCTCCGATTCCACCTTCACCAGCTCCGATTCTCCGATTCCACCTCCACCAGCTCCGATTCTCCGATTCCACCTCCACCATCTCCGATTCTCCGATTCCACCTCCACCATCTCCGATCCGCCGATTCCACGTGCACCATCTCCGATTCTCCGATTCCACCTCCACCATCTCCGATTCTCCGATTCCACCTCCACCAGCTCCGATTCTCCGATTCCACCTCCACCATCTCCGATCCTCCGATTCCACCTTCACCAGCTCCGATTCTCCGATTCCACCTCCAACATCTCCGATCCGCCGATTCCACCTCCACCATCTCCGATTCGCCGATCCCACCTACACCATCTCCGATTCTCCGATTCCACCTCCACCAT